TCAAAGGAATTTTTCCTACACATCCCTCAATATACTGATACTGATACTGATCCTTTTACATACGGGATGCGTCATAATGTTTTGGTGCATCTCCAGTCTGATCTTAAATGCATAAACACAGGTCGAGAGTACAACGTTTTCGGGAAGGGAGTTCTACGCTGCAACTACGCTGTTGCTGAAAACGAAGTTTCGTCCATTGATCCTTGCTTTGCCGGCGCGTTGTTTAAGGGGATGCCCGTGCAAAGTTGGCTTATTAGGCTGGGTAAAGAAATCGACGGGGGCAAAGCAACAATGCAGATTATTCCTAATACGGAGGGTAAGTATGAAGTAGTCGTCTGTAGGAAACGGGAAGTACATCAACAGTTGATAGTCTCCTTTCATAGGGCAGTGTTTCTAGACCTTTGGCCATTTTTTTCGCTCGCTTCTGGACCTTCTCTAAGACGGTACAGTCTTTGACAATCCAAAGCCTCCATGCCTCTTTGGCGAATTCCGGGTGTGGCCGAACGAAGCTTGCAAATATTTTGGAAAATCTGTCTTTTTCAAACCCCATAAACGCTCATCTAATCAGCTGTAATATACATCTGGTCGACTTCGCCGCCTTCGTACAGTTCAGCGTTGGTTTGAGTGAAGAAGCAATCCAGACACCCAAGTATTTCTAACTCTCAACTTGTTGCAGCGATGTACCGTTTAAGTAATAGACCTTCGGGCTAGATGCTCTACAACTGCCGATTTGTAGAAAGTTGCTGTTACGAATATTGAAAGGCATAAGCCAATATTTTGATCAGTCATCCAATCTCTTCACGTTACAGTAGGTAACCTTACTCATGAAATCCAAGGATTTTTACAAGTAACTCTTGGTTACTCAAAGACAGCCCAAGCTGCGCCCCCCAAAGTCTTGCAGCAATAAAGTAATGGTCGTTCTTCACAACAGAGCATATTGCGATTTATGAAGGAATTTAAAGTTTGATAGAAATACCAGCTTTTTTAGCAAAGTGGAAAATTCCGAAAAAGTGGAAATAGTATTAGGTAAACTTAAGTTTTACTTGTAGAGGACGCCTGTTTATGCAAAACCACAGAGTGAATAAAGCAGCATAAGTAAAATTACGTTGGAAAATAAAGTTTTCGGATACATATGCTTCCATATTACGTGCAATGTGATGTATAGCTGTTACCGAATAGCCCAAACATCGACTATGTATTCCAACACGTTTTCACAAGAATCGCTAGATTTTTCGGCGAGAATGATTTGTGAGTCTTAACAAATATTAAGAATCCCAGGCCCAACTGTCTTACAGGCACCTGGCTAAAGGGGATTATTTGAGTGGGGTAGCAAACTGGGGAGCTTTAGCGGGCGATAACTTGAAAGAATAATTGGAAAGAGAGCCAAAAAATGCACATTTATTTTACTAGAAAGATAATGAAGGCAGAAGGTTATAGGTAGCGGAGCATAAGTGTAACGTTAACGCTACAGTGAAAAATGTTACCCAGACGCATGCCATTGATGAGAATAATCAGGCAACTAAATATTGAAGTCCAAGGAAGAAGCGAACTGATCATGCATGAGTGGTAACGAATCAGGTAAGATTGCGAACGGGTAGTGCTAAATTTGTGCGTAGTATAAATCGTTTTGGTTAATGGCGCAAAGGACTAAATATGCTAGCGTTGAAGTTCAAACAATGGGAGATGCGGAAGCCAAGTAAGTGCTAATTTTAAGCTAATATGGAGATAAAACGAGAAGAATAGTGACAGTGTAGCCGTTGGGAGAATTTTTTTAATATAAGATTACATTTCTGACAAATGTAAAGTACATTGGCCAAGAAGTTATATAATTTGCCTTAAATTCAGACCGTCTGGAGTAGCCGCAGGAGCCAGCGTATGCGCGATCCCTACTACATGAGGCAGCTCGCCGACTATGAAAACAATGCCGCTGGTTATTGAAAGGAAAACTGTATTGCCGGATGAAAGGCAAAGAAGGTATTTTCGGGCTTAAGTTTATTTTAAAAGCTTTCCCTGGCATCACGAACACCATATAAGTAGTAGTTTTTTGTAGCTTACAACGCACCTGTAGCTATGCTATCTCACATAGCAACAGCAAATTAACGGTAGAGATAATGTTGGCGTCGTAAAGAATGCCTTTTTTGTGAGCTGCAGCTCCAACATTCGCAGCGCGTGATCTATCAGGCTATCTCAGCCGACGCCGTATGAAGAGCTAGTCAAATTTCTCAAATCAAACGATGTCGTTGTATACTGTCAACAAAAAGGCCTGCTGCCCTTTTGGCTTCGATGCGATTGCGCAAACCTCATGGTCCAACGACAGATAGCTCAGAACGGCAACGGATTCGTTCTTCGTTGTGGAAAATGCTACAGAAAGAAATTAATTAAGTCAAAGTCTATGTTCTTCAACAGCCGGTTAGGCTTGAGCAAGCTATCGAGCATATGTTTGGCCTTTGTGTCTGGCAGGACGGTTAGAGAGGTGGCGTCTGTGTGTGGTTTGGCCGAAAGAAATGCAGGATACTGGTATGCAGTGTGTCGAAACGTGTGCTCGCATGCATTCCTGAGGCATGCCGTAAGAATTGGCGGCTCAGGAGTGAAAGTGCAAGTAGACGAATCTCTGATGTCGCGCCGCAAGTACAGCAGGTGCCGACGCAAGCAACAGGCAATCTTGTCATTAATGTTGTGTAATGTTTAGATGAGAGCGGCGAAGCCGAGGGTTAGCAAACATCTGAACGCGAACCAATCCCTGTCTTCGCGAAATCGTAGATGCAGACCATGTGCGTACGTGTGGTGGAAACGTAGCGATAGATAAGAAAGATTGTGCCACTTATGTTGTTTAATATGTAGATCAGAGCGGCGAAACGTGCGAGACAAGAATAAATGAAAACCTCCGCACAAACCAACTCCTGCATCTTCGTGAAGCCGTAGATGCAGACCATGTGAAGACGCGTGGCAGACGCACGGCGACAGGTTAGAATAATTTTTCCCTCTAATGTTGTGCAATGTGTAGATGAGAGCGGCGGAAAGTGCGAGGCGAGGCCGAACAAAAGCCTGCGCGCAAAGCAACTGCTGAATCTTAGTACACCCGCAGACGCAGAAGGTCTGTGGGCTCGTGCTAGCGAACTGCACGAAACAGGAGCGGATGTACTGCTGACCTACCCGACAGAGACGAAATATACGGCGGAGGCGAATGGAGGAAGGCGTACCGAGGCAGAACGAAGGGTGCCCCAGGAGAAGGAGACAAGAAGGCCAGGCCGAAGACGACGGATGTAAGAAAGTGGGAGACCTGACAGAACCCAGAAATCCAAAGAGCGGTTGGAGTCATTTGCCAATGAGGGTCTCCCAAACGGTCATATTTTAGGAGCCGTCCGAGCCGATGCCATGCTATTGAACCG